TGAACAGAAGTGGTGATAGAGGGTATCCTTGTTTGGATCCCGTTTGCAAGGGAAAATGCATCGAGTCTCTCTCCATTGAGAATAATATTGGCTGTTGGTTTTGCATATCTGCTTCACTACCAAAACCAAGCTCACTGCCTTGAGTCAGATCCGACTTGTAGCAACCCCTTGGGCTTTCACTATGGAATTTACTGACTTTTGTTAAAAGATTCCTCATTCTCTGCTAGTATGATACAGCAATAACCATAACCATTTTAATTGTAAGTTTAACACTTGAATGTTCCTTTTGATCAACTGTTCCTTCTTTCATTTTTCTTTGTCAATCAGGTTTGATTTTTTTTTTTTTATTTTGATTTGAGTCAAAGATTACAGAGCAAATTCATTTTCTGTACAGCAGTTCATACACACTCTGTCTCATGGCATTGACTACAATTTCATACAATGCAACAGCTCTCTTCCAACTTTCTTCTCATAGTCACTTTTTCCCTGGGTCCTTCCCTCCTATGGACTCCTGCCCCTGAGTCATCTCCCTGTGTATGCACAGCCGTTCTGTTTTCCCAGGATTGATTTCTCCAAAGAGTGCATTTACCTAATATAAACGTTCAACTCATGTTCCTATCTTTTGCTTGGCTGGAAACCAAAGGAATGGGTTCAATTCTGGACCTGAAGGGTGCCATGGTGTCAGGGGTTCCACCAGGCTCTACAGATCAGCAAACCTGGTCTCTCTCTCTCTCTTTTTTTTTTTTTTTTTTTGTGATTTTGAGTTTTGCTCCACATTAATTTTCCACTCTTTGCAGAATCTCCTCCATAGATCCCCCTTCAAGTGGTTGATAGTGGTTGCTGGGCATCAGGTTTGATTTTTGAATAATACTCTGTGGCATGGTTGTACCACACTTTGTTTAACCATTCACTCCTTGAGGAATATCTGGCTTTCCTAGTTTTTGATTGCTACAAATAAAGCTGCAAACAAGAAGCATCCATGTATAGGCTTGTAAGGTATTTTTCAAGATATTTTACCTTTTTGTTTATTTGCTTTATCTTCCCTATTTTCTATTTCTGTTTCATTGATTTCTGCTGTTTATTATTTCTGTCTTCTGTTTACTGCAGGTTTATTTTGTTTTACTTTTAATTTGCTCTTATTTTTCTAGATTGTTGAGGTGAGACTCTGCTTGGTTTAATTTCAGACTTTTCCGCTTTTCAAATGTATGCATTTATTGCTACAAAATTCTCAGCACTGCTCTGAGTCCAATAAAGTTTGACATGTTGTATTTTCATTTTCATTCAGTTCAATGCACTTTTTTAAAATTTCCTGTGTGAGTTCCCTTTGATCTATGGATTATTTAGAAGCGTGTCCAGATTCCAAGCAATTGGAGATTTTCCTTTCACTTTTCTCTTGTTGATTTCTAGTTTCATTCTACTGTCAGAGCATACACTCTGCATTATTTATGTTATTTTAAATTTGTTGAGATTTGATTTGTGACCCAGGAGAATGATATATCTTGGTTCTATGGGCACTTGAAAAGAATGCATGTTCAATTGTTCTTGGGTGGAGTGTTCTATAAATGCTGATTGAATCTTTTTGTTTGATAGTGTTGTTGAGTTTTATAAACTTGCTGGTTTTCTGTCACAGAAGAATCTAAACTCAGTGTTTTAATTTCCCTTTCTGGAGGCAACATCTGCTTCACTGAATTGCTTTCTATGTTACATAAGATAACATGTAAATCAAACAGAAAAGTGTCTGCCAGTATGACTGATGGTAAATTCTAATTTCTCTTTCCATGTATCAGTCATTTGACCATCATGTAAATAGAATATTTGAAAGCAGTTTTAAGTGGCACCCAAGAAGAAAATAAAGGTAAAACAAAATGAAACTCTTTAGGAACAGACATTAAAGAATAAAAAGTAGATATTGTCATTCATGAAGACCAATATAATTTGAGAGTGGTAGAGAATCCACACATAACCACGAATCTTATGAGACAGAAAATAGTGATCATTCCAGACAGAAAAAATAAGAGAGGCACTACTAGCCTAGGGGCATGTGAGTTCTGAGGGAAAGGAAGGTAAGACAAAATGGATATTCCCAGAATTTTTTGTTTTGGAAGAAGTATCATGCTGAGAACATAGAACAGTCTTGGCATTCATTTACAATTCCAGATAGCTTACACCCTATTGCACTGTGCCTTTGACATGCTGTGTTTCACTTTTCCCAGCATACTGTTCTATTCAAAAATTCTATCTGAAATACACAGACTAAAACTTTAGGAATGAAATATAATTAGTCAACTGGATGGTTTTGTTATATGTTGTTTGAACTAACAAATAGGTAGGAGCTCTGGTAGCATAGTGACTAAGGCACTTGACTGCTAACCAGAAGGCTGGTGGTTCAAACCCACCAGCCACTCCTTGGAAGGAAGAGGGGGCAATCTTTCCGTAGTGATACTGCCTCGGAAACCCAAGGAGGGGTCGCTATGAGTCGTGTCTGACTCGACGGCACATAACAACAAAAAAAATATAATAGGTAATAAAAAATATGGGAGCTCTGGTAGCATAGTGGCTAAAGCATTTGACTGCTAACCAGAAGGCTGACGGTTCAAATCCACCAGCCACTCCTCGGAAGGAAGGTTGGGCAATCCTACTTCTGTAGTGATACTGCCTCGGAAACCCAAGGAGGGGTCGCTATG